CCCACCTCTACGAGACTGCAGCTAAACACGCACTTCCATTAAATGTCTAAGGGGCACAGAATCTGCAGAGGAGAAGCCCTGCTCGGTAAGGGGTGCTTTTGTTCCCCGTGGAGACTTCTTTCACGTGCACGCAGTTGGCTTCCCGGGGACTCCCAGCTCCTGATCTCACACTACTCTGCAGCATTTAAGGCACGTCCGTGGCCTCTGCAGCTGCTGATGAGCCACCGTGAGAGTCGTTTCTTTTTAACATGACAGTTGTTCCTTTGACCCTCAGCACCGGGAGAGCCTGGGACGTGGAGCACTGTACCATGGGGCCAATGTCACCGGCTTCTCCTTTGGGTCCACTCTGCTGGCCGTCCTGTCCTGACTCACCCTGAAAACAACACAGGTCAAGGAAATGAGCTGCTGCCTCTGGGTTGAAAGGTCAGAAAAATACGCGTGATGTCACGAAGGACAGTCCCTCCGTCCTCATCCTATCCAAATGACGTCTTTCCCACTCGACAGAACCTCACCCTGGGGCCAGCAAACCACTCTTAGCCCCAAACAGGAGTAATGGTGCCCCCCAGGGAGGAGCCCCGGGCTCACTCTTGCCTGTGCCTGGCCACAGAGGTGGGGTGACCTGGGAAAGAGAGTGGCCTGTGATGGTTGTGTGCTTAAAGGTTTCCACAGAGCCATGAAACAAGAAAAGCTGCAGACTCTTCTCTTTTCCTCAGTCACAGTGCAGGGAAACCTCTCGGGTCTGCGTGTGACAAGACGTGGAAACGCTTATCCTCAGAGCCGGAGAACAAACACGTCTCCAGTCACCCCAAAATTGTAAGAGGGCCAAGCACACATTTTATTAACACGTTTTAAAGTGATTTCAAAGGTAAAATTCTTCCTTTCACCGCACTTCTCCCACACCCTCGACCCCAGGCTCACATCTAAGCCACCAGTAAGGAAATTTTCCTACCGGGTCACCTCGAATTCCAACATCTCCTCTTTCTCCTTTGTCTCCTTTAGGTCCTTTGTCACCCTAAACAAAAAACACAAGAGAAAGCTACAAATTCGATGTTTCCGATTTTATTTAGCCCTGAAAATCACATTCTTCAGTTTATAAATCTTAAATAAAACAGCGTTTACCACTTACTCATTTGCCAGGAAGGTAAAATCACTCGTGAATATTTCTGATTAGTTCAGTTAATTCACAAATATTTATTGGGGACCTCGCTGTGCCAGGCACTGGGGATTTATTCATAACAAAACAAACTCAGTCCCTGCCCTATGGGACATCTTCTCCAAACAAGAAAATATAATGTGATGTGTCAGAACTGACAGGGGACAATACAGGAGATGTCACCCACAGGGGAGGTCAGGGAAGGCTGCCTGGAGGAAGTGGGCTTAATGTGTATGAGCAAAATCCACTCAACTCTTCCATAACAGCCACACTGGGAATAGACCTACCCTTCTTCCAGGACTCCCCTTCTCTCCAGACGATCCAGGCAATCCTTTGTCTCCCTGCCAAAGATGATAAAAGGTCACTCCTGGCACACACAATTCTGCTGTAGACTGAACGGTTAGTAGCTGGAATCTCCAGAACCAAATCTCCAAGGAGTTTGGGCTTGGAGAATAAAGGCACTTACGTCTTCACCATCAAGACCATCCAGTCCAATTTCCCCCAATTCACCCTGAGAAGGAACAAGACACACGGGTGAGTGTAGAAAGCTCTTCTGGCAAAGGAAAAAATGAGAAATGCTGGGATAGTTTTCAGTTTAAAATACAAAAACAAGCTCAAATACCTTTTCTCCTGGGAATCCTCGAGAGCCCTGGAAGGTAAGCGGACAGGGGAAACATGAACTCTTCCTGCACGGCTGGTCCCTCGGGGGAGAAGGGGACATGGGCTCCCCCCACCCCGGCCATTTGAATGCCACCGTGTCTGAAAACTCAGTATTAGAGACTCCTGTTTCAGTCTCCCTCTCTCCCCATCACATGAGGGGTTGTAAAGCTAATTTTATGGAAACTGAACACTTGGGCAGTCTTGGCTCCCCGGGCAGGAGAGGTGGGCCCCAAAAGCAAAGGCCCACTTTCTGACTTTGCAGCATGATGGCCCTGTCCTTCAGCAGAGAAGAAAGCCCACCAGCCCCTGAATCCACGAGCTGTCCTCTCTCGCTCCCCCTTCCCTGGCTCCTCCCAGGGTCCAGGGGCCGAAGCCTCAGGCCCCAGCCTCCCTGCACCCCAGCCCACGTTCTGTCCTTGAGAACACTTGTGGCTGCTGCGTGTTTCCATAGGAAACCATGCCTCCATTCTCAGGCTCCCTCCAGCTGTGGCCCAGGTTCCTGAACCACCCTACGGAGCTGCCTTCTGCTAAGAGGCCATCGGCTACTGACCCCTGAGAACAGAGAAGAAGGGGCGGACGGCCTTCCTCCCCTAGGAAGCATCTGGAGAAGCTGAATCACCCCTGCACAGGAGGCTGACCTAACCCTTCCCCACACTGAGCACACTGTACCTTTATCCCTCTCTGGCCAGGGCAGCCCTGGAAAAACAAAAACAAGCTCAAATACCTTTTCTCCTGGGAATCCTCGAGAGCCCTGGAAGGTAAGGGGACAGGGGAAACATGAGCTCTTCCTGCACGGCTGGTCCCTCGGGGGAGAAGGGGACATGGGCTCCCCCCACCCCGGCCATTTGAATGCCACCATGTCTGAAAACTCAGTATTAGAGACTCCTGTTTCAGTCTCCCTCTCTCCCCATCACATGAGGGGTTGTAAAGCTAATTTTACGGAAACTGAACACTTGGGCAGTCTTGGCTCCCCGGGCAGGAGGGATGGGCCCCAAAAGCAAAGGCCCACTTTCTGACTTTGCAGCATGATGGCCCTGTGCTTCAGCAGAGAAGAAAGCCCACCAGCCCCTGAATCCGTGAGCTGTCCTCTCTCGCTCCCCCTTCCCTGGCTCCTCCCATGGTCCAGGGGCCGAAGCCTCAGGCCCCAGCCTCCCTGCACCCCGGCCCACGTTCTGTCCTTGAGAACACTTGTGGCTACTGCGTGTTTCCATAGGAAACCATGTCTCCATTCTCAGGCTCCCTCCAGCTGTGGCCCAGGCTCCTGAACCACCCTACGGAGCTGCCTTCTGCTAAGAGGCCATCGGCTACTGACCCCTGAGAATAGAGAAGCAGGGGCGGACGGCCTTCCTCCCCTAGGAAGCATCTGGAGAAGCTGAATCACCCCTGCACAGGAGGCCGACCTGACCCTTCCCCACACTGAGCACACTGTACCTTTATCCCTCTCTGGCCAGGGCAGCCCTGGAANGCTGTGGCCCAGGTTCCTGAACCACCCTACGGAGCTGCCTTCTGCTAAGAGGCCATCGGCTACTGACCCCTGAGAACAGAGAAGAAGGGGCGGACGGCCTTCCTCCCCTAGGAAGCATCTGGAGAAGCTGAATCACCCCTGCACAGGAGGCTGACCTAACCCTTCCCCACACTGAGCACACTGTACCTTTATCCCTCTCTGGCCAGGGCAGCCCTGGAAACCTTGAGTGCCGTTCACACCAGGTGGGCCTCGCTCGCCCTGTTGGGAGAAGCAAAGGCATTTTGCAGGTTGCCGCTCTGTGTCATGTGTCTCCATTGGGTTTGCAAGGCTGTGACCAGCGTGAATTAGGAAGCAGATTTCACTGGTGAGAATGTGGATCCAGGCTGCGGGAGCCAGGGGAGCTGCTCAGCGTCCCTGCACCAGGCCTGGCCTTCGACCTGCAGTTCCCCTGGAGGGAGTGGGGTCTGGGGAGGAGGGGAAGGTCACCGCACTGACAGCACTGCCTGGTGGGCCATGGATGGGTGGGCTTCTGGGCACCGAGTCTGTGTGGGCTCTGGACCCCGTGAAGGGTCCGTCCGCCTGACCACTCCTCTGTGGGGTCCTGTTTCCCAACTCTCCAGAGGGGCCAGGCCCAGCCCTGGCACCCAGCATTACTGGCTGGAGCCCTGGTGACCTCACCCACTCCCCGTGGGCCCCTTTGTCCCCTATCCTTAGGCTGGGCCTTGTTGTAGTGTCTCAAAGCCTCTCAGACCAGCATCTGTCCAGGCTCAGCTCTCAAAGGCCCTCCACTGGACCCCTCAGATCTGGGTGACCCGATTCAGCAGCACCCCACTCTGGGAGACTTCCCCTGGCGAGGGTAACCCATACACCCCGGTCAGGTGTCCCTGCCCCCGACTCAGGCCCACTGCCATCTCTGCTCATGTATCTTAATTTAGCAGACGCTGCCGGGTTCGGTGGCCCTCTAGCTCAGAAACCACTAACCCGTCCCTCTGAAACAGAATGGACATGAACCGACCTTTGTCATACTCAGGCTACTGTACTGTTTGACATAGTGTGGAAATCGGAGGCAAGTTGTAAAATAGTTAGAGACTAATTTTTTCCCAAGAAAGTCACTGGCGACCAAACGGGTTATGGACTCCACCATCCAATCCCAACACACAAGGGGCAAGGAGGGAAGAAAAGGTTACTCACAGGTCCGCCCTCGTCGCCAGGGTACCCTCGGTAGCCGTCTTCGCCGGAAACACCCTACAACGAAAGAAATCGGTCCCCTGTTAAGTCCTTGCTCTATATCAAGTGTCTCCGTGACAGAGCAGTGCTAACACCGGCCTGGCTCGGGACGTTTCCGAGAACTTAGCGGTTCTTCTGCGCGTGATCTCAGTGCCGTTATTCTTTCTATCAGGAACTTTAAGGCTCTTGCTCTGCCAAGGAAGCCTGTCGGCCTCTTGCTGGGAGGCGAATGCTGAGAGCCCGGCTGGTGGCCCACGGTGGGGCTGCCATGAGTGGCTCTAACGTGACTTTACGAAATGAAGAACCAGTGAGCTAAAGGACTGATTCCTTCACCACGCAAAGAGGGAGAACGTGGCAGACCCGCAGAACTTCCTGAGCCGTCCCCAGCGGGACAGACCCCGGCCAGCGCAGACCCCATCTGCACCTCCAACCCCTGTGCCACCATGTGGGCAGAGTCCTTCCTCCCCCATCCACATTACCCAGCCAAAGTGATATCGGACTTCTGAAGTCCAGTCTCAGGTGTAAGAAACAGGCAAAAGCCACTGTACCTTTGGCCCGATGGTGCCAATGGGCCCGCGGTCTCCCCTTTGTCCAGAGCACTTGCAGGGAACCCCACAGCAAGCTTTCTCAGCAATGTTGTCCTACCAGAATGAAAGGAAAAGAGTTCAAATCTCAAGAAATGTCCAGCAAAACATCATAAATATGCTGTAAAGGTCAAAATCTGATGCCTGTGGGTTTCACAGTGCCAGATGAAGTCACTCCGGATGGCATTCAATCCAAGATTGGCCGAGGCTGAGGGTCCAGCTCCTGGCAGTCGGGGTGGGGGGTGTCACCAAAGAGAGAGTAAAGAACAACCAAAGTAAAATAAATCTTATCCACAATGTCGCCTCAAGCTGGGCCTTATTTCTAGAGGTTTCCAAAGTAGATATTCAAGTTTCAAATCTTAAGTATAACTTACAGAGTTGAAGCTACAAAGTCTAACAAACTAGATGGCCAGGACTAAAGGTGGTTCCAAAACAAAGACCTGTGACACTCCCTTCCACAGAACCAGGGTCAGTCCCAGAATATGGCACCAGCCTGGAGGAGCTCCAGAGCAGCCGTGGTGTGCGGCAGGCAGTGTGGTCCTGGCCACTGAGCCACTCTGGGTCACCAGTACCTCTAACACTCACCAGCCACCCTTGACATTCCCGTCTCACCCCAACCCCTGCTCTTACGTAGGAAAGTACACACCCCAAATACACCCGCATCCACTCCACTCATGGTGGCCACGTGTGTTTTCTTGCAATGAGCTTCCTCGGACTTTCACTTTCTCCCATGTCCCAGACTCGTCCGCTAAATCAACCCCCTTTCACCAGATAAAAGAGGTCTAATCGCAGCCCGAGAAGAAGGCAGGAGGGAGGAAGGGTGGAGTCAGTTTATCTTATTCACATAGCCATGGTGCACTGTTGCCACCACCAAAGAATCTGAGTCCACCTCTCAGCCCCACATCTCCCAAGAGCCCACCCCCACTCCCAAACCAACACCTCCCGATGGGAGAGGCTGGACTTGGGGAGGATTAGGACGCCCCTTAGGGGTTCCTTTGTGTGCATTGAAGGAAACTAGAGGAGAGAACCATAAAAGCATTTCTCCATCCACCAGTGGTCTCTCCTTTCCTGGTTATTGCTGTTTCATCAAGCAAGACTTCAGATACTGTGGATGCAGTTTCCTGTTTGGGAATGGTGAGTTGCAAGGTTTTGCACTCCTGGCAATCTCATGAAAGAAAAGACATTAAAAGAGGCAGCTCCCAAGGGGAGCAGAGGTAATTCTGAGGCTACACCATCAAGCACATGTAGAGACCGTTCTCCAGCCCGCTGCCTCTCCAGCTGTGTGCTATCTCCATGTCCAGGATTCACATGTGCTAAGGCAATAAGGCGGGTCCCCAGTGAATTAAATGAATTAAATGATCCACCCAGGCCCTCCTCCCTATTCACCAGGCCATAATGGACTCCATTCTCCTGAGATGCCAGAAAATAGAATCTAAGCTGCTTCTTGCATAAAGACATATAAAACTCACGAGCTGCTCTGCTAGTTCGTAATCCAAGTCCAGCAGGTTAAGCCTGAGGGGCTTGTCGTACATGAACCCGCGGCCGAACTCCAGTTGCGTCAGCCGCTCCAGGATGGCTACTCGCTCCAGGCCCACCAAGATCAGAGCATGGACACCTGCGAGGAGAGACGCATTTAATACAGCTACCTGGGCATTTGAGAGCTGCAACATCTTGTTTTCCTGACTTTTTCTTTTGGTTATGAATATTCATGATACAAAGCTGATTGTCACCCCTCATGCCCATGATGTGGGGCCAGATTCATACTGGCTGTATATCCATTACCTCAAATTGCATTTGTACCCTGTGACCCCACCCAATTATCCCCAACCTCCCTCCCCATCCCCCCTTCTCCCCCACTCCACTTTGTAGCCCATAGAACGTTCTCTCCCTCTGCAAGTCCAATGCACCACTGTGGTCTTTCTCTCCTAGCTCCTACATATGAGCAAGCACATGCGGTATTTATCCCTCTGTGCTTTGCTTATTTCACTCAACATAATTTTCTCCAGGTTCATCCATGTCTTTGCAAATGGAAGTATTTCATTCTTTTTTATGGCAGAGTAGTATTCCACAGTATATATATACCACAGTTTCCTTATCCAATCATCCATTTAGGTTGGTTCCATGTCTTGGCTATTTTTTTTTTTTTACTTCAGTATAAAATTTGACCTTTAATCAAATGTTTAATCAAATGAATTAGCTGCTCTGGAGAGTTGAAATACTGAAACTTTTGACTCCACTGAGTAATCACTACAGATATGTCAATAACTAAACTTACTACTATAAATATAAAAAGTGGCATCCATGAAGTATATTCATGCATAAATTCTCAAACTCTGGTCCTACGTAACATGGGTATGCTGTGGAAAGAACTGAAGTACTAACACCTCCAAATCAGATCATAGCAGTCTCATCTTCATTGCTTGCAAACAGTAAGCTAACAAATAGGACGTTCTTATGATAAATTGTGTTTCCATAAATGCTTCTTAAACTTTTGTTTCTATCTGCTTTTTGACAGTCAATGCCACCAAATCCCAAAGCCAATGGACAGTCAAACATTACATCTGGTAACAGTCATCGTTGCTTATCCAGTCACCTTACGTGTGCTAAGAATGCTTACATCGTTTATTTCATATTGTTTACATGTATTTTTATTTAAAGGCTGTAGTGTTTTTGAGCTGCAATAACTGCAAACCAAAAATAGATCAATATTTTTGCTAGTAAGTTAATTCCTAGTTTAGATGATGGAGTTAAACGAATTAATACTTTATGATCTTTTACAAAAGCATCGTGCTTTCTGCAGGTCTGCCTGAAGGAGTCTGAGAACCTGTGGGCCTGTGCCAGAACATGGTGACAAAGCTGTCTATGGTGTGGAAGGAATCCTTGCTAGTCCCATTGCGTAGCCCCAGACGGGCAATGAGGGGCCGAGATGCTGGGAGGAAGAGTCCTCTAGGAGATGCTGTTCGCCCGGAGGACTCCATCAACAGAGCCATTTCTCTCCAGCAGAGCTGCACACTGGGGCTCTCTTCACATGTTTAGAAACCCTTGGAAGGGCCGGCCCGGTGGCGCACTGGAGAGTGCGCCGCTTGGGAGCGCGGTGGCGCTCCTG